AAAGACCTAGCCAATAGGATAACTAGTGAAGACTGGGTGGAAGCATTAGAACAGACAAAGAATTCCTCTGCACCCGGTCCTACAGGCATCTCTTACCCACTCATTAAAAATGTGAATGCTTTTACAGAAGAACTATTCAGAAAACTAGCAGACAAATGTTTTAAAATAGGAAAAATATCAAAAAAATGGAAAATCGGGTTGTTATATCCAATTCCAAAAAGAGAAGATTGGAATTACAACCTCAACAATATACGTCCTATTCTGCTGTTAAAAACGTTCAGAAAAACAGTAGTGCGAGTACTAAACAACAGACTAGGAAGAAAGTTAAAGAAAAAAGAGATCTTGAAAGGAAGAAACTATGCTGGTCTACCAGAAGAGAAAACAGCAGGATCTATACAGATATTAAACAGCATAGTAGAGGATGCAAGAGAAAATAAAAAAGAACTCTGGATCTTATTTTAAGACATGAAGAAAGCCTTCAACTCAGTTAGTATAGAAATGCTGAAACTAGCCTTAAAAAGAATCAAGATACCTCAGAAAACCCAGGACTTTATAATAAATGGAGATAATTACAGGGCATGGAAATCCAGAAAGATTCAGAGCTGGGAATAGCATAGATCAAGAAGAAGTAATCTCACCTCTAGTTTGGAGGATATTTTATGATCTGCTACTAACACATATACAAGAATGCAAAGAAACTGGCTACACTATAGAAGTAACATGGCCTAAAGACATAAGTAGAAATATAGTGGAAATACAAGATCCAAAAGTGCCAGTACTCGCATATGCAGATAATACAGTATATATTGCAAGAAATAAGAAGGAGCTAGACAAGATTACAAATATAGCAAATGAGTTCTTTGAAATTAATGATATAGAAATAAACCCGAAGAAGTCAGAGCTGGTGGTGCTTTTCCCAGCAAGTCAGGAAACAACGGATAATGAAATAAGATTTGGACCAAAGAAAGAACTGGTGACTCGAAAGAAGCCTGAAGAACTAACAAAATATCTTGGAATTTGGATATCTGAAAAAACAAAACAAAAGCATATATGTGAGATCATCAAAAAAAAAATACAGGTGATGGTAAAAGGACTAAAAAAGAAAAAAACATCCCTAGCACATATGCAGTATATTAACAACAGAGTGCTGATACCAAGAATAGAATACAGAAGTCAGCTCTATATCCTCCCAAGAGAAGTTTGCGACAGACTTCAGAGCCCAATATTTATGCTAATTAAGAACAAGGCGAAGATGACGTATACAATGCCAAATGCAGCTATGATACACCAAAACATAGTGGGAATAAGGACAATTTGGCAAAACCAACTAGCACACTATATCACAGAACTAACAGCTAGATTAAACAACAAGCAAGATTTAGGACGAGCTATGTAGTTAAAAATTATGCAAGCACAACTGAATCTCAAAAGCAGCAAATGTATCCTAGATCTTAGTTTGCAGAAGATAGAACAAATAGACATTAAAAACAATCTATGTTACAAAATAATTAAAGAAGCAAAAAGATTGGAAATCAGCATTAGGTTACCAGAAATAGAAAGAAATTTAGAGATTATAGAAGGTGGAACAGAAATAGTAGGCATATTAGAGAAGAAGTATAGACCAAGCTTCAGACACGAAAAGACAATGAATATCTTTACGCTCGAACAACTACTCAATAAAGAAGGAAACAAGCTGCTTACATGAGACCAGACTAAGAAACTCAGAGGTTGTAACAGCAAGAAGAAAAAACAAGATGGTTCCAGGAATTAGAGAAAACGGTATTAGAAAGTGAAAATAACAGAAGAGTAAAAGTAGAATTTTACAGAGGTCCAGAAAACTACAAATCAATTGAAGCAAAGCTATGTAAGATAAACAGCAATAAAAGAAGACAAGAGTGGATTATATACAAAGAAGAGAATAGAAATTCCGAAGTTGGAAGAATAATAAAGAAAAAAGAAGATAGAAGATATGAGATAGAGCATTGGGACAGAGATATTACACCTAGATCAGAGGAAATATTCCTGAACCTATGCAAAGGCTGTGCAGAAAAAAATAATAAGAAAAAGCTCAGTATTTGCCGAAATAACAAGCAGTTCAAGGAAATTAGAAGAGCTCTAGATAGTAGTTGGATCAAAAAGAGTAATAATTACAGCCAAACAAGGTACAAAATAACAGTGCCATGGGAGAACTTAGCGAGAGTAAGAGAAGCTCAAGCAGTAATAGAGGCAAAAAGAAGAGCAGAAAGACAAGTAACAGAAATAAGAATATGGTCGATTATTAAAGAAATAACAAGAAGCTGTATAGACGGAGTAGAAGCAGTAGCAGAGCTAATAGCAATTTTAGAGAGTATTATAAAGTACAAAATATTTGAAGTATATACTGATGGTTCACTATTAGAGCTACAAGAAACAGTAAGCGAAACCAAGATGGGAGTAGGTTGGACCCTACAAACGCAAGAAGAAAGACTATTAAAGAAGGTAGCAGAGTTTAACTGCACTATGAAAGGCTGGCCCTCATCAACAAAAGCAGAGCTAGATGCAATCTTGACTGTGCTGTTAGTCTTGCCAGAAGAAGCATCTATAAAGGTATATACAGACAGTCAAGCAGCAATTCAAGCAGTTCAAAAAATAGCAGAAATAAGGAAAATACGCAGTTATTTCAAAATGAAAAATAGAAGTATTTTGAGACAAATAGAACATATAAGAAAAAGAAAATGATTAAAGGTTGAACTGCACAAGGTAAAAGGACACAATGGAATAGAAGGGAATGAAGAGGCAGACAAGTTAGCAAAAGAAGGCGCAAGATCGAACAAGATCATTGAAGTTCAGCTACCATGGACTAAGCTAATACATATTATATTGAGGTGGAAAGAGTTAAAAGTAGATAAGCCTATCAGAAGTTTTTAAATTGGATCACAACAGCAATTTTGGATGCAGAATGGGCAGGATTAAGTAGAATGAAAAGATGGATAGGGAGGAGAAAAAGAGGATAGTTTAGATTGGAGAGAAATCTGAAAATATATAGAAGGAGTAAAAGGTAACAATTGTTTAGATAGTAAAACAAATGATAGATGGACATTTAGGGTAAAATATTTAAATGAAGTACTGCCAACAATGACAGAGCTCAAGTCAAGAAGGCCTGACCTATACAAGACCAACAAGTGCATCACATACCAAGAAAAATCAGAAACAATTGACCACCTAATGAGCTGTGAAGACTATCAAGGTATATGGAGCATAATAGAAGAAGAAACATATAATGAAATAGAGAAAACCATAAAGAAAGAAAGAAGAACTAGCCAAAAGAATACCAACTAGAGCAGCAATTAAAGAAAATATCTTTGGCGCATCTAACACAAAACAGATAGAAGCGAGAAGTTACATGATTAGAGGTTTAATTAAGAAAGAGCAAAAACAAAGAGTAGAGTATATGCTCCAAAACGGAAAAGCAGCTAGCAAAATAATAAGTATAGCACTTAATAAGTTGGGCGAGAGATTCCATCAACACATATGGAACTTTAGATGTGAGTTACAAATAGCATATGAGCGCCTTTTTGGAATTAGGGATAATTTTTAATTATGATTAGCTAATTTGATTGGTTGATTAACAACTATGAACCCCAAATTTTAATTTCAATACCCCAAAATTTTTAAACAAATAATTTTGTAATATATAATTTTATATGTCGAACCAATTGTCCAAGGGTCGAACCAATTGTCCAAGGATTAAATCAATTGTCACAGGTAAGTATTACCAGTAAAGCTATAAGCTTAATTGCTAAAAAAAAACATTTTGTTAAGCTTAAATAATAACTAATATTAAATTTTTTTAAAGTATGACTACAAAAGATAGCAACGCAACTTATATTAATAGTTTTACTAGTCTTACACTACCTTTAACACCAACCTTTATAAAACAATATTTTGAATGTCCTATTTGTCATATTTTTTACAAAACAAAAGCTAGATTAATACGTCATCAAAACACAGTTCAAAGACAAAATATACGATGAGCCGAACTATATGTATTGCTATTAGAAGCAATAGAGGAATTTAAAAAATATCTTGTACATATTATTCAAAAACATCTTAAAGAGCATTTTAGCCATTCTGGCAAACAAATTATTACCTTTCCTTGCTTAGAAAGTCTTTTTTTTGGAGTTTTCGAAAGGTATATTCATTACTATAATTACAAAAATGGAAATTATAAATGTTTGTTACAGGGTCAAAATGCGTATAATCAGTTAAGCAATTTATTTAATAATCCAAATTGGGGACGTAGATTTTTTGATAATGAACAACAGACTTTTGTTTTACTATTTGATAGATGGGCTGAAATAGAAGCTAATCAGGAGGGTGAATTTGATCAATATGGCAAGCGAATTCCAAAAAATCGACGAAAAAAATTTAACTTACCAAAGTTAATATTTGAATGGAAAAGACAAACAAAAAAAGATATAAAAGGTCATCAAACATTTGCAGGATATATACATATAAGTTTTCGTGTACAGCAAATTTAATAAAAAAACTGTTCTACAAACTTAATAAATATTATTGTATAATCTATTGTGTTGCTTCGAATTGAATTATTTGAAAAAATTTATTATATGTATATTTAATTTTATTTAATTTAGTAAATCTATACATACTTATTTATCTACATTTTAAAAATAAATTATTCAAATTCGTATTTATTATTTAGTTTAATTGTGTTTGCATTAATTTAAATATATTTATTAATCGAAATATTTATAATTTGTATATAACCTATTATTTCACTAACCGTTTAGATTTTATTACTTATTAATTAAAATCGTAAACAACTAAATCACACAATTGTCTCTATTCTTACATCATCTTATAGGCAAATTTGCCTGATAAATGAATGCTGTCAAGAGAAAATAGGACTTCAGGCTTTAACCATATAATGTACCGGACAAAAATCCTGAAAATTTTGATTTAATTGAAGTTCAATTACATATTATATATTGCTAATTAAAATTTTCAAGAGGTTTGTCTAGTATGTATATAGTTGAATGCCTAAATAGAGCTAATACTTAGATTCAGATTTAATTACTTATACTCATTAGATCTGGATTTAATAATTAAATCCGGATATAGGTCTGATATCTGGATTCAAATATCAAGCGAATTTGGTAGGTATCATTATTAAATCCATATCTTATAATTAAATACAGATTTAATAATTAAATTCAGATTTATGATTAAATCCAAATATATATAATTAAATCCGAATCTAGGTATTAACTCTAAACCTGAAGTTTCATTTTCCTTAGTAGTACTCAAATGTACTTTTTTGGCAGATTACATTATTACAAAATTTTCTATAATCAATAAAAATTGCAAAAAATTCTGTAATATTTGACGATATCGACAGAGCCTAGGTTGCCTGCCCAGAGAGACTCATTCGAAGAGTATATGTTCTTCATGAAGATGATACTCTGAATACCTATTCACGACTTCCTATATGTTCATGTCTCTGTAATCATTCAAGAAATGCCTCATCTAATCAATATTCTTAAAGAAAAGAAAATGTCAGTAATGAGCGAAGCAATGGAAAAAGAATATAACCAGTGGAACACCCTATTTAGCTTTAAAATTTTTATACCCCACGTTTATTTCACATGGTTCTTTAAACCTACAAAGTAGCTAATTCAAAACCTGTACCAATTTCATCCACCGATACATATTCAAATACCGCCCTGAATCAAATAAAGGAATTAATAAAAAAAAAATAAATAATCATATTTATCTTAAAGTGTCCGATAGTTCATACTTTGTTCAATTAGAAACCTATTTTTTTTA